ATATTGTACTGGGTATATTTAAAATACCTAGAAATTATTATTTGCAACATATTGTTTATACATTATTCGTAAATTGATTATTTTTATTGATATTTTAAAAATATATGTATTACCTATATGCTTATAATATAAATTACTTGTGTGCATTATTATATTGTGTTTTTACTTACCTACGTAAACAAAAGGCACGTTAAGTATATTTATAAATTTAAGAGAAGGTTTTTTATGATGAAAAAAATAAACAAGAAATTATAAATATAAAGCTGATGTATTCGTTGTATAGGCACTGTAATAATATAATAATATTTCATTTATTTACTGAAGAAAAACTTAACACAAATAGTACATAATATGTAACCATTTAAAAATAAGCCCACATATTATATTGTTAAAACTATCGAAATCGTACACGTAAATACAATTTCTAAAATTGTATTACTTATGAAACATTTATTAGTTAATTTACACAGTTTAACGCCTATAAATATTTTACAAAAACGTATAATTATAGTCATTGTTATTTCTATATTATGCTAGTCATCACTCAACAGCTGTCAAGGACTAGGTTGTATATTTATAATAATATAGAACTTCCATTGAATAACATTTTCTGCTTAATGAAATATTTTTAAGATCCAAACTAAATCAGACTTAAATTTATTTAGTTTTACTTAACGAATTTTTCTATTACATTATTTATTTATTTTTTTGCTTTTGATACTTCGTAATATGAAAGTTTCAGTGTTTCACTGTATAATATATAATTTAATAGTTTCAAAGTAATTTTAATATTACTCTCACATTTTGTATATTTCATTAAAAAAGCTTACTAATTTTAATTCCCACTTACCATGAAATGCTAAAGGATCTGGTGGACGGGATGTACACAAGAAGAAGCAACAGCGAACACAAGACGGCAGCGGCAGCGACTGGTTCAGGTATCTGCGACGACCGTAGGAGACGCTTCGACGATGAGCGGCAGCGCGTCATTTCCAAAAGACGTTATGCAACTAAACGCACACTTTTCCGTCTCAATTCGTTTATTAAAAACAAACTCGCTCGGGTCCCCTCTCCCCCTCCCCCTTAGACATCACCCACAATCGCGTGGTAAAAATATAATGTACCTATAATATATACCTAGGTATATTATTATGGTGATTAAAATAAATATACAATATACCTACGTAAACTTAATAATATACAGTTATACCTTATGCGTGGGACTATGTAGTTCAATAAAGTTTATAAATTGATTATATACGAGATGTACCTCTCAAGCGCAGATCTAGGAATCTGAAATCTTCCAGAAAAATCCAATTCCAATTTTAGACATAATAAATTGACATCTATGCTAGTGTGATATTATATAGATAACATTACAATAATAGTTATCACACATATAGCTACCTAAGATTTTAAAACAATATTAATAATTCAATTAATATTTTAATTTTATGTACTTAATAAGACGTATAAACTGTTTATTATATGAATAAATATAATAATATAATACCTACATTATAACATTACTAAATATAGGGCTAAAGCTCCTTATAGCCATCTGGATCCACGCCTGCAGGTACCTCTTGGCTTTTGCAGCATTATGTTCGTCACACATATTATAGTAAAGCCAAATTATATCTAAATTTAAATATAGGTGACTTATGTCATTGTCTTAAGTCATGACGATAGTATACGACCATATACCACGGCGACCATAATAGACGCGATACATATGTGACTATAAGACACCTACCTKGTGACATTATGCTAATGATTAGAACACTGAATAGTATAGTTATGTACCTACTTAATAATACAAATTTCACAACGCGATCATTTCAATAATAATACGTATTAATGCGTTTTTAGCTGCATAGCGTGTATGCGTRTATGCGTGARTGCATACACGCGGATAACATGTTTKAGCTACACGTTGGCTATAAAACAATGTAAATATTAGTAATATTATTATTATATTACGTATAGTGATTACAAACAAAGACACGCACACAGGTTTGTATTAATCGCCGTTCGATTCGTTCGTCAACATTTGAAATATCTCACAATAATATTGTATGAGAGTAAGTTGTTGCAGAGATTTTTGACTGTGGAAAATTATTTTGGTAAGTTATAGGTACTTACTCTTTATTCGAATAGAAATAATTAATGTTTTGTATGTTTTTCTCATCAATTTCTGGTTTAGTTCCATTCAATTTGTGCATAATAATACTACGAGGTAGTAGGTATATTGGCGTATTAGTACTTTATTTTATATTTACCATCTACCTACCTAAATTTGATGAAATTATATTTTGGAAATAATATTCATTGGAATTAGATCATTTGTATGGACTTTGAATTTTCAATGATCGATATTTGACACTACCAGATATTCCTGAGAACGATGGAATACCAAATACTATAATTTGTTTTACATTATTATAGAGTATTTAAAGTGAACCCACGGTACACGTGCCAAAAGTGGTTAGATTAGGTATGTTTGTCAAATTGCAATGGCAAGCAAAAAATCAAAATTATTGTGAAAAATAAATGAATAAATGAATGTTATTCATAAAAATGTTGCTTGCAAAAAAATTCAAAGAAACGAATTATATACATTAAAAAAAATTATAAATTCCTATGTAAAATGTATTACCTATGTTAATCACTATATTTATTATGTTATAATTAGTATTTACAAACTTTGGGTACGTGAAAAATTGTGAAACCTTTAATTGAAAAAATTTGGCACTAGACCCAAAAAAGGTTCTTCACCCCTGCTCTATAGTATATGCCAGAGGTGGCCCCAACGAGGCTTACTTTCCACATGCCATTTGCGAATCAGTCT